GGCACTTGCGATGAGTGCATCGCGCTGGATGGCGCGTCTCCGCGGCCACGCCAGCCCGCGCATGCGCGCGCAGCGGCCAGGTAGTCTGGCGCCACCGACGCGAACGCGGTGGTGCTGACCGCTCGGCACATCCCAGCGGGCACTTCAGTGCGAGTCGGCGACTTGGGCGGGCGCGGCATCGCGGCAGCGTCGACAACGGTAGACGCGACGATGATAGCAGCGATGCCGGTGACGATGCTGACAGCGACAACGGGGCAGCCAGTGACGGCGCCGAGGCCGATCGCGCCGACGACGATGGCGGCGTCTTCGCGATTGCGATGCGTGCTTGGCGTTGGCTGGTGCATCTCTGCGGCCGCGCCAACCCTAGCACGCGCGCGCAGCGGCCAGCTAGTTTGGCGCCAGCGACGCGGCCGCGGCGGCGCTGGCCGCAGGGCGCGCCCCACCAGGCACTTCACTGCAAGTCGGCGACTTGGGCGGGCGCGACGATGATAGCGGCGACGCTGGCGACAATGTTCAAACCGACGACGGCGCGGCCAGTGCGGGCGCCGATGCTGATCACGCCGACGACGACGACGGCGCCCTCGCGTCGGCGATGAAGGCATTGGGAAGAGTTCCACACGCGCGCGCGGCCGACGGGCGAGCGCGGCCCGCATCGGTTCATGCGACACGGGTAGGTGCCCCCCCAGCACGCGCGCAGAGGCGCCCGAATTATGTCGGCATGCGGCGCCAGAGGCCCGTTCGGCAGAACTCCGCGAAGATGTCGAAATCGATGGTTTTCATCGAATTCGCAAGAGCGCGCGCTTTTGAGAACTGACGTTGCGAAACCTTGTGTGTTTGAATGTTATTTTCTGAATTTCGGTTTTGACATCGCTACGAAACTGAAGGTTTCTGAAGGATTCCGGCACGCGCGCGCGACGACGCGCGCGCGTGCACTTTTTCCTTTTGGCAGACAGGATCCTCGCGAAAGCGCGCTCGCAAGAGCGCTCGAACGATTTCGACGCGCGCTCGACGCCCGCTTGGTGGCACTTGCTGGAAACACTCAAAAAACATTGCTTTTGAAGAATTCGCATGAACGCGCGCGCGCTTGTTTGAAAGTCCGCGCTGACGCTCTACCTTGAAATCCATACGAACCAAAAGGTTTCTACAAGAATATCGGCACGCGCGCGACGACGCGCGAGCGTACACATCGTCTCATTTTGCAAAGGATGTTTCAATATAGCATTATATATATACATCAAACAAAGGATTTTTGGTGAACGAGTGCGCACGCGCAATATCTCTTGTAGAGGATGGCGGGGGGGGCGACGCCGGCGGGGCAATAATTGCATGAATTCATATTTCAGATGGGCGACGGGGCAGAATCCTGCGCAAATTGCAACACGAAAGGGTGGATCGATAAAGCCGGGGGGGTCAACATTTTCCTGGGGAAGGAAAATTCACATGCCGAACTTGAAATTGCCACCTCCACTGCTCGCGCAATCACCCCACCCACCCACCCGCAAATTGGTTTGCAAAACCCATGCGGCGGCGATTCCGATGCGTGCTCGGCGTTGGCCGGTGCATCTCTGCGGCCGCGCTAGCCCGCGCATGCTCGCGCGCGCAGCGGCCAGCTAGCTTGACGCGACCGACGCGAACGCGGCGGCGCTGACCGCTGGGCACATCACAGCGGGCATTTCACTGCGAGTCGGCGACTTGGGCGGGCGCGGTACCGTGGCAACGTCGACAACGGTAGACACGACGATGGCAGTGGCGACGCTGGTGGCGATGCTGACAGCGACGACGGGGCAGCCAGTGACGGCGCCGATGCTGATCACGCCGACGACGATGACGGCGTCTTCGCGTCGGCAATGAAAGTTTCGGAAGGAGTTCGACATGCGCGAGCGGCAGACGCGCGAGAGTGGCCCGCGCGGTACTATTTGACGCGGACCGCGCCACCCCAGCACGCGCGCAGGGGCGCTCGGACGATTTTGACATGCGCGCGCGAAGCCCGCTTGGTAGTATGATTTGGACATGTTGGAAAACCTATGGTTTTCTCAAGGATTCGCAAGAGCGCGCGAGCAAGCTTTTCGGGGAAATCCGCGCTGCGAGTTCATTTGTTTTGTTCTTGGGGCACTCGATCTTACGAAACGAAAGGTTTCGAATGATTTCGGCACGCACACGCGACGACGCGCGCGCGCATTTCGTCTCATTATGTTGCAAAGGATTCTTGGAAACTTTCGAGTGCCGATACACGAGTGCGCGCGCATAGTTTTTGTTACAAATGATGGCGGGGGGGGGGTCGATACTGGCCTGCCTGGGATGGTATGATTTCATATTTATGATGGACGATGCGGCAGGATCATACGCAAATTGCAATACGAAAAGGGGGCCACTAATCCCGGGGGGGGGGGGGGTATCATCTTTTCTTTTTTCTAGAAAAAAGAATTAACTACCCTGCACCGCGCTCGACCACCTCCACTGCTCGCCCAATCACCCCACCAACCCACCCGCAAATTTGTTTGCAAAAACCCATGCGGCGGCGATTGCGATGAGCGCTGGACGTCGGCTGGTCCATCTCTGCGGCCATGGCTTAAGGTCCGTCGGGCGAAAAAAAAACACTACGCAAAACAGCGTGGGTCATGACGCCCCAGACCGCCTCCTCGGAGGACTCCCCGATGCCTGGCGTGCTGAAACCAATACTGCTTGGTTTAAGTTCTGTTCCGGAAGAACTCCCCTTGGGGTCAATTGCACCAGCCACCCGGAAAGCTCCGTGCGAGGCGATCGCAAAAGCTTTTCCTGCTCTAAAAGGCTCCAAGATGGTCCAAGATGGCCTCCAAGACGGCCAAGATGGCCTCCAAGTTCGCCCAAGATGGTGAAACGTGGGCTCCAAGACGGCCCAAGATTGTCCTAGATGCCTCCAAGTTCGCCCAAGAAGCCTCCAAGACGGCCCATGACGCCCCAAGAGGCCCCCAAGATGCCCTCCAGGAAAGCCCGAAGACGCCAAAATAATGAATGCTGATTGGGTGTTTGAAGGATTTGGGCATTTGCTTCTACTCGGTCTTCCACGGCCCCAGACGGCTCAAGAGACTCCAAGGATCGCCCCAAGAGCGCCCCAGAGGCCTCCAGGATGGCCCCAGAACGGCCCAAGAGGCCCCCAAGACTGCCCCAAGAGGGCCCCAAGACGGCCCAAGAGGCTTCCAAGACGCCCAAGATGGCCTCCAAGACGGCCCTGAAGCGCCCCAAGAAGGCCCCAAGTCGGTTCAGAGAGGCCCCCAAGACGACTTCCGACGGCGTCAGACGGGCCAGGAACGCCCTAAGACGGCTTTAGAGGCCCCCAAGAAGCCCCCAATGGCCCCCAAGAGGCCCAAGGAGGCCTCCAAGATGCTTCTAAAAGGCCCACAGGAAGCTCCCAGGAGGCCCCATGAGAGCCCCCAGAGGCTCCCAAGATGCCCCCTCCTCCCCCTCCTTCTCCTCCTCCTCCTCCTCCTCTTCCTCCTCCTCCTCCTCCTGATCTTCCCCGCCATCCTCCCCCAAGTTTTCCCTGAAGAGGTTCCACAACGGCTGGGGGAACACATGGTCCGATAGCTCGGCTGAGCTCTGGCCAGAACGTTCGGCCACATGAACAATTCCAAAGGCACGGGGCGGCGGTGACTCACCGTAGGCGTCTTTCAAATGTGGGGTGGCCTCTCAGAACTGGAAGTGAGGTTCGGCCGTGGCGAATAGACGATCCGCGTATGCGTTTAGGTAATGATTGCCTTTTGTGCCGTACCGATCGGCATACTGTGCCTGACAGCATCTCACGGCCAGTAAAACAGATGCCCGATGTTCAGTTGCATGGGCTAACCATGAATCGGGGGGGCCACTGGGATACGTCAAACACCTGGTCGCACTTGCTTGAGCCAGGCAAGTAGTTTCCGTAGGGCTGGTCGCCTTTGCCGCAACGCTATCCGCAGTTGACCAGCGCAGACCACGGTCGGTAAGTTGTATCATGGTTACTCGTCGTAACGTCGGCAGCAGGCTCATACCCAGGTTGCCCGCTGCGGGTGTCACCACGCCCACACGTCCCAGTAAGGGTGAGGGGGCATAGCGGCCAAGAGACCTCGTCTGGTAGCCGTCGTGTGCTGTTCCCCCCGCCGCACATGGAACCCTCATGAGCCAGGCGTTGCTGCGCTAGTTGTCGCCGGGCGGCTGGTGCCGCTTGTCGTCTGCCGACTTCCCAGTGCAAGAAAGCGTTCTCGTGCGTCAGGTTTGTCTAGCGCTGGCGTCATGGCTTCGGTATGCTGATCGGTCACGGCCGATGCTGCCCCTCCCTGCGGTGGGGTCACAGGGAGTCCAGGTAACGGTTGGCGGTCATGGTGTTCGGTCTTTGTGGTCCGACGCTGAGACGCTGTGTTTGGGCTGCAGTCTTCTGTCGATTCGCCGCGTGGTGTTGCGTCCCCCCACCCGACAGGGATGAACACGAGTGGGCGGTCGCTGCCCTGGTTTTTGTAGTCTTGCGGCTGGCGTGGTCAACCCCACTGGGGTCATTGAAGGTCCAGACGCCGTGTCCCCGTCTGTGGATGCTATTCTGGTGCAAGCTTGGTCGGGTGATGATGTTGTTGTAGTCCCCCCCCTCCCGCCGCACAGGACAAACTTCGACGGATGCATCATCATCCTCCTCCTTCCCATCTTCCTCCTTCATTTCCTCACCCTCCTCCTCCTCCCCGGCCTCCTCCTCCTTCTCCTCCTCCTCATCTCCAACCTCCCGCTCCCCCTCCACCTCCCTACCCCCTCCTCCTGCTGTTCCTCATTCTGCATTTCCTCCCCACCAGTTCCACGAGCATGAGGATCATCACTCGCATCACCATTCCCCATCAGCATCCTTCTCCCTCGTCTTCCTCCTCCAACTTCCCCGCCCCACAAAAAAAAACCCTCGTGTTCCCCTCCTCAGCTGGTGCTCACGCAGGCACGCCCTCATCCTCCTCCTCTTCCTCCTCGCCCCCCCTATCGTCCCAGGAGCGCAGAGGGACGGTGGGGCTCTCCGCGAGAGGGAGGCCACCCAGACATGGGTCAACATGGTCAGGACGGACTGCTCCTGGCGGAGCACCTCCTCCTCATCCTCCTCCTCATCCTCCTCCTCCTCCTCCTCCTCATCCTCCTCATCGTCCTCCTCCTCATCCTCCTCCTCATCCTCCTCATCCTAATCCTCATCCTCCTTATCCTCATCCCCCTCGTCCTCCTCACCTCCTCCTCCTCCTCCCCCTCCTCCTCCTCATCATCCTCCCGCGGATGGACAAAAAAGTGGAGCCCTTGACTCTGGCCCCTCCCCTCCCCCCACACTCAGAGTTGACCCCGGGCACTCAAGAGCACAGGCTCGAGAGGACAGAACAAGTGGAACCCCCGGGGCCTCCACCATGCCAGAGCCCAACTTTGAGTTGAGGGAAGGGGGGGGACGAACATGGTGTCGACGACGACGGGGTTCCTCTTTGTTGTCCCCTTACCGTCCCCATCGTCTCATACAATGCGGACGCGGCCGTGAGAAACCCTCGCAAGAAACCCAGCCCTGAAAACCCGCGTGCGAGATGCACACGGGGGGGACCCCAGAGCACCCTGAACGGCTTCGGGAAGTCACCGCCCAGCGCGCGGAGCGAAGAAACCCAGGGTATCCTGACGAAAAGCAGATAGTTTCTTGATGCGCGTCCCCACTGTAATCAAACTCATCACTAACATCATCACCACCACCACCATCATCACCACAACCGTCATCATGATCCTCAGCCCCGCACGCTGCGCTGACAAGCAGTCGTCTAGGAGGCGGGAGGCTCCCGAGACCACTAAGAGGCTCCAAGAGGTTCCCCAAAGTCATCCAAGACTCCCAACGACGCCCCAGCGAAAAACCCAAAATCATTGATTGAACTACGGCTTTGGCAACATTTGACCTCCTGGGGGGAGGGCATTAAGTAAAGAGCCCCCTCCCTTGATCGAACTCTTCCAAGATTGCCCCAAGATGGCCCCTGAGGCTCCCAACGGTGCCCCAAAACGACTCCAAGAAGTGCCCAGGAGGCCCCAAGAGAACCCCACGATGCCCCCCAGATGCCCCCGAGAGGCTCGAGAGACTCCCAAGAGACCCCCAAGAGGTTCCAAAAGACCACCCCCGAAGCACCTCCTCAAGAGGCCCCCGGGACTGCCAAGAGATCCCCAAGACGCCTCAGGAGGACTCCAAGAAACTCTTGAAAGAAATCCGAAGAGACTCAGAGGAGGGCATCCAACAGACCTATGGCCGTTCTGCTCGCCCTCCTCCTCCTCAGCATCATCATCCTCCTCGTGTTTGTAGTAGTACGTCTTTCATGCGTATTGGTATTGTTATTAGTATTAACCATCATTCAAGTAGTTCGGTGTCATGTGACTGTGTGAGGCAGTATTCATGTATGCATGATACTCGTATTAGTCATAGTACTGGTGTCCCATACCCTGTGGATATATATATATATATATGTATATGTATATATATGTGTGCGAACTAGCATTAACACTAGTTTTTAGCATTCATAATCACGATACGATTCCTGACATCAATACTACGACTCGCAATACTAATAGTATTTGTATGAGCCGTAGTCTTAATTGCATGTTTCGTGATATGATGGCTCTTGTTATTAATACGAACGGTATGCCTATCCTTCTGGATAATCGTCGTGTTATTAGCGTTAGTATTATGATTAGTATTGCTCGTCTCATGATTATGCGTATTACCCCTGTAACTACTAACGAATATGATCAACATTGTTAATAGTATGCAAAATATTAGTCGTGATAATGTGTGTGTTGTTCGTTTGCCCTCCTCCTCATCATTCCGTTTCCCTCCATTACTCCCTCTCCCAACTCCTGGTCCTCGTCCTTGTCATCATCCGATTCGTCCTCCATCCTCCCCCGTTTGGGGTACGACGTCTTACCCATTGTTACACTGCAATATCCGACAAATCCGTGATCACGGCAACTCGCCTGGGCACCGTTTGTGAATGGACTGGTGGGTTACGCGCCAGGGTGCACATTCCGCATCACTGGGACAGCTACTGTACCCGAGCGCACAACCTACTTCAATTCAGCCACTGGACTGGGCATTGTATGATGTATGTCTCATATGAACACATGCATACACTATTGCGCATTAGTTTGTGCCCCTGTTGCGAAGAACGGATGATGTGTCGGCCTTCCCTCGAACGAAGCACGCCCAAAAACGGTCATCGTGTCAATCGTTGTCCATTTCCTCCAATGACGACAACGACGACGTCGATGACGATGACGACGACGACGGCGGCGCGGCGACGGCGGGGCGAGCGGCGTCCAACAACAAGTCGCGCACCGACTGGCACGTCGGCCTGTCCTGCCCCCGCCACACACTCGACAGACTTCGCCGCCGTTTTCGTCACCGTCATCATCCTGTTCTTCCCAAACCACGTGGTACCCAGATGTTTCCATCATCCGTCCCCCTCCCTCCTCCGAAAATTATGCCCCTCCTATTTCCTCGGACCCTGGTCGCCA